GGAAGAACGAGGGAGAGAGAAGAGGAAGGCATAGGGGTGGGGGTATGGCAGTGGGAGGGGTTACTATTTGAACCTCTGCCAGGGTAGCATGTGCCAGCCTGGGAGGGTGGCACTGTGCCCTGGTGTCTAATTTCTGGAGGTGTGAGTAGGTTCAGTCAGCTGGGTACACACTTCCATTTCCCTTAAAGGGGCAGAGGAAGTCAAAGGGCATGGCTAGCTGTGCTGCCCTCCTTCTGGGCTTCGTGGGTGAAGGGCAGAAGTATAAATGGTAGAGGGCCCTTAGGTGGTGGGGGTGGGGGGGTGATGTTCAGGGGTTGGGAGAGTCTGAGGCCTCCATTCTTGGCATATCACTGCTCTTCCCGACATTGCAAAGAAAATAAAGAAGAGGCGGCTGGGACCCAGGTGGCAGGGCATGGCAATGTTCCCAAGCCAGGCTGTGCCTACCCCTGCCCACAGGAAAACTGAGAAAAGAATGGAGGGAGGAGGGGAGGGAGGGAGGAGCCATAATTTGGGTGGGAGCAAATGGGTCAGATAGGATAAAATATACAAGGATGAACAACTGTGTTGGCACTACATACCCCAGCACCTTATAGGTAAGAGGGTCTGAAAAGACTTGTTCTGTTTGCCCTTTCTCTAGCAAAAAGAAAGAGCAGTATTGTGAAGACACCTTGACCTGGCCACCTTGCAGGCTGTGATTAGGGTATCTCCCTTGACGAGCACTGATAACTCTCATTCTCTTCCACACTTAACTATGTCCCCAGCATTTTGTCAGCATGTACCCCTTCCCCACTCCTGGTAAAGTCCTCTGGCCCCAGGCAATGCCAAGCTACCGGGCACCAAGAGCTGTTGGGAGAGGAGCTAGGAAAGAAGGGATGACTGAGGGTGGCACTCAGAACCCAGGCAGGAATGGGGGTGGTTTGCCGACTCAGGGCCCCCGCCTGGCCTCCTTGGCAGCCTCAGTACCTCCTCACTTCACTTTAACGCTAATTGGAGATTTTAATCTGCGCTGCTGCTCTGCTCGGGGTGCTGGGGGGAGCGCCAGCTGTGCAGTAATTCCAGCAGCACCGACTGTTTAATCAAGCTGTCCTCCTGGGGAGGGGCCCTCGGGCAGGGGGTAGGAGGGAGGAGCAGAACCTCTGTCATCTCCCTTAGCCTGTTCAGCCTGGAAGGGCTCATGGAGACTGAGGAGCAATTGTGTGGTGCCTCATCCCCATAAGGGCTCCATGGCCACTTGAATTCCCTAGCAGAGCCATTACATGGTGTGAGGTCAGTATGAGGCTCACGGGCCAAAGCAGCCTCCCTTCTCCCTCCTGCTTTCTGACACCTTTTTTGGCCCAGAGTCCTGGGGTGTCCTGGGGTATCCTCCACCCGCTCAGGCTGCAAATAACTATCAGACCATCTTGAGCTCTGCAGGTTTGTGCTGGGGACACAGAAGGCTGAACTTTCCCACTCTCTGTCTTCTAGGTCCTCTCTCCAACACACTCTCACTAACAAAGGTACTTCTCTTAAAACAACTGTAAGATTGATTTTTTTTCTCTGAAAAGCACAGGTAGCCCCATGCTCTGGGCTAAAAAGTGACTGTCTTAGAAGCAGGGAGACCGTGGAGTGGACAGCTGGAGGATGCTACACCCTGAGGGAGAGAAGCACCTATGCAAGTTGTTCAGTGCCTATAGCGAGGGGGGGCTTCCCAAGTTCAGCTGGGAACATACTGAGAATCAGGTCACTGGAGCAAAGTGTTCAAGGTCTCAGGCCATATTTAAGGAAGAACAAATGGTACTTAGAATTTTTTTGGCTTCTTCGGTTCTATTCTCAGGCCCTCTTGGGGTCTTTCTGACCTCTGTCTTGGGGAAAGGGTACCCCAGTGGCCCAAATCCTATCTGCTAAGGGGCAGGAGATTTCATTGGTCAGCAGCACCCTCGTGTGGCAGAAACCAAGACTGCGGCTGCCCAAGTGGCCCAAACAGCTTTGGGGCATCAGCTAGGAAGACAGATAGGGGGACAGTGTTATAAACGTTAGTGCTCTCTGTGCCATCAAGGTATCCCACGCATATTTCCTGCTTGACCACTTCCGGGGAGCATTTCCTGCTTTCTAACACCTGCCCTATTCCTCCATCCACCCCATCCTAACTCCAACTCAAGGGGAGGGAGCACCTTACCCAGAGCTGGCACTTGTTTAAGCCTGCTGCCTGTGTTGTCTAGATTGCAAGTGTGAAAGAGGCACTGCTGAGAGAGGAGGCCTAAGGTCAAAAGGGTAAGCTGATGTTACCTCCAGTGGCAGGGGAGGCTCTGGCACCTGTCAACTCTCTACAGGCGCCAGACAAGAGCTGCCAACTGAGCTCAAGACAGAGTATCACCTAGTGGTGGGTTCTGCCCTACAGCAATCCATTCTCCACTCCCTGGGGAGGCGTGGGGATGAATAGGGACAGACTCTTCAGAGTCTGAGATCCTTGCCCTCTGGAATGGACACCAGATAAAACACCTTTCCTCAAAAGACCCAGATACTCTCTAAGAATGCCAGGCCACTGGGCAGAATACACACCTGGGGCTTCAGACTTCTAACCCCAAGGGAAAAGCTGCCTGTCAGTAGACCTTTCCCTTCCAGTGTCAAATACTGTGTTTACTGGTCACTTCTTCCCATACACACTAAATGGGAAAAATGGTTCTGAACCACAGAAAGGGGATGGAGACTTAACAGGAAGTTCTCACTAAAGATTAGGGCAAGAAGTCACCAAGGCAGAGAATTGAGTCACTAAGGGCTTCCTCTCGTTGAAGATATTTAACAATAGAGAGAAATACTCCCAGAGAGAAACATGATCCTGTTTGGGTTGGTGGGCAGGGAGAGGAGCACACCTACCTGGCAGCAGGAAGGTGGAGGTGCATACTGGAGGCTGGTGACCTGCCCAGTTCTGGGCCTTGAGGATGGAGAGAAGCAGCCTGTAGGCCTCTCCTTCTAGTGTCTAGCACAGTGTTTGGATAGGTGATCTCCCATCTAACCTGGAAGGAAGTAGAGAAGCTGATAGGATGCAGTAAGAGTGGACAGCACTGCCCTATCCTGACTTAGAATAAAGGGAGAGAAAATAGCTTATCGGGAAAGAGAAGGCAGGGCTATGTGTGTGCATGAGGTGGTGGGTGAGAGGAGCAGGTGTTACAGAGGAGAGGCTGAGAGTACCCGCCATCAGCATCCCACCATAGAGGAACATCCATTAGCACAGCTGGCCAAGAGGAAAGAATGGGAATGAAATGACTGCTGATGCTAATAAAGGGGCTTACCTCCTCTAGCCAGGAGGGAGAAACTGTTAATCAGAAGGTAGGATACCATAATAGGGTCAAACAAAAAGCTAAGGAAAGACCTCCGGAGATCTTTGGGAATAAGAAAGTGCGTGTGTGTGTGTGTGTGTGTCCCTTACAAAAGCAGGCCTGTGGCCTCTGATTGACCTTAGATCCCAGATCCCTACCTGGCTTGAGTCTGTGAAAGACACTGAATTTGCCAGGGCTCCGGTTATCAGGTGACTGATGGACTTCGCCAAATTCCTCAGGGGCCATCCCTCCTGCTGCTACAGCCACCTGTGAAAGAAAATGACAGGTTATATTAGACATGAGACAAGGGACTAGATACCAAACAGGGTCTCTGGTCTTTTACCCAGGAGCATGGCCTTAGTAGGTAACAGTGATGGTGACAGTCACCATTATCCTAATTCCCTCCAACCTAAACAGGAAGCCCAAAAGGATTCATGAACCGTAAGTATGCTCCCAGAGTTTTAACGGTTCTAAGAGTCCTACCTCCAGGGAACTAGTGCCCAGTCTGATAAAATAAATACTATGGTTCCTATATTTAAGAGGTAAGTTAAGAATTCAATAGAAATAGAAGCCGTGAAACTCAGAATTATAAAGGGCAATGAAGGTTCAAGGTGAAAGCAAAGTTAATGCAAGGTGACGGGAGGAGGCCATTCAGTTTTAGATCAGATCATCAGCTTGAACTCAAGGCTCTTTTTGTCCAAAACAGCTTCTTCAAGAAGGGCCCAGCGACAAAAAGAGAAAAGGTCCTGTGAGACATAAAAGATGTTTGCAGGGCAGCAATGATGGAATTTGAGCACGTAGGTCCATCATACATTCCCTAGGTCAGCGATTTTTATGTCTTTTCATCTCCTGGCACACATAAACTAATTACTAAAATCCTGCGCATACCAAAAAAATATATATTTTGCCAATCTGACCGCCCCCCCCCAAAAAAGATGTAATTTTGATTCATTCACACACTATTGTTGAGTTGGTTGTTGTAATTTTTTTTTTAAATTTTACAATCTAAGAGCAAAGAGGTCAGTGTCCCTGATTAAACAGTCAGGCATTGCATGTTTGAAACATTCTTGCAGCACACCAGTTGAAAATCACTGCCCTAGGTAAAGGTCAATTTGCATGGGGACCAACTCCATATTCCTCCTATGCTGTCAGTTAGGGTGAGAAAGAGAAAAGATAAAGGCTTTGTACTAGGATCTATTTCTTCAGCAGACAATGTTCATCTTGCAGACCCGCTGACCCTCTGACCTGAGCCTGTAACTCTATCTCTAAGCAGCTGAGTGGTGCCTCCAGGATTCTGCTCCCAGCTTAGGGACTCTTCAGCATTCCCTCTCTGATCATCAGTGGCTCCCAGGCTCCTATGCATTAGCATCGGAAGCTACTTGTAGCTACATCTCGGGGAGGTCCACAGAGGGGAAGGGAGTCTCAGCACCAGAGTAAGATGACTTCAGAACCTGCTGTATCTCCCTAACCGGTTTGGCTCAGTGGATAGAGCGTCAGCCTGCGGACTGAAAGGTCCCAGGTTCGATTCCGGCCAAGGGCATGTACCTTGGTTGCGGGCACATCCCCAGTAGGAGGTGTGCAAGAGGAAACTGACCGATGTTTCTAACTCTCTATCCCTCTCCCTTCCTCTCTGTAAAAAATCAGTAAAATATATTAAAAAAAAAAACAACCTGCTGTGCCGGTCAGCCCATTGGGTACACTGTTAAGGGCTTAGATCACTGTGGAGCACCACTTCACCTTCCTTCTGCCCCAACAAAGGAGAAAACCAACAACTCAAAACTACCCAAAAAGTAGGGGGGTTGGGGGGAGTAGAGTTCCCCACCCCCAATTTCCTTTTACTTTCAGAGAATATCCCATTTTCCTTGCAGTTCTATAATTCCTCCTTCTCATTCAGTGACTCCCCTTAGTTTTCCAGCAGGTGAGATGTGTTCTGCTCCTTCCTTCCTTCTGAGCTCACTTTTTAATACAGCTGCATTGTATAATACAAAGAAGCCTGAACTGAGATGTAGGGTAAATTCCTCACATTGCCTCTGAGGGTCTTCTGACTATCCCACCCCCAGAGATGGCGGCAAAGTGCTCCTTGAACTTTGGAGTAACTCTGACAGCATTAGATCTTTAGCCACGACTGTCACGTGCTTTCCAATGAATCAGAACCCTTGACTCTAAATAAAAATTATACTTGTATAATATGGAGGTCATTGAAAAGTTAGTCTTTGAGGTGAACATATATAAAGCCTTTTCTCAGTTTTTCTACCAATTTTTTTCCTATTTACCTTTTCCCCTCAATCTGTCCCTCCCCTCTCAAAATCTCACAGCCCTACCTTCCTTTCCTAAGGAAGCTCATGGCTCTTAGGAATTGGTGATCTTAAAGTTGGGGGCTCTATACTCAGACTAAAATTCTGGTTAACATTCTGGCCTTTTGGATTCCAGTCTTGGCTGGATGCCACTAACTACCTCACTATGAAACTGTGGGCAAGGCACTTCCCTCTCTAGGAACTGTTTCCTGCTCTGTAAACTGAGAGGTGATCTCTAGAGGCCCCTTTCTAGCTCTGGCCATTTATAATTCTATAAGGGAGAAGACACTAGTGTCTTTCCATCAGGAAGTGAGACATTCCTGCCTTTAGCACCTTCTCTCTCCAGTGGTCGGCAAACTGCGGCTCGGCAAACCGCGGCTCACGAGCCACCTGAGACTCTTTGGCCCCTTGACTGTGACTCTTCCACAAAATACCGACTTCTGCACATGGGCCACCAAGTTTCAATCACACTGTACGTGTGCGCCCGCACGTGTTATTTTGTGGAAGAGCCACAGTCAAGGGGCCAAAGAGCCATGTGTGGCTCGCCAGCCGCGGTTTGCCGACCACAGCTCTTGGCCAATGCAGTAAGAAGCTCTACTGCAGATTCCTGTCTTTCTCATGCTGGCTTAACTAAGGGACAAACAAGTGAGTTGGGAGGCCTTCCTTTAAGCCAAACTCCTTCTATTACGAAGAAAATATATTAAGATGGTGATCTAACTCTAACCACGAATCTTGATAAAGCAGATAGGAGGCAAGGCAGGTAATGGGCAGGGAAGAGTATAATAAGCATGCCCCCTCACAACACACACCCTGAACTATTTAAGAGTCTGAGCACACATTTGGCTTTGCCCTAGAGAGCCCTTATAAGTAGTGGCTGCTTATCCAATACAACCGCGTGTGGACACGTGTAAACACATTCAGAGCATCGACATAAATGTCCAACCAACGCACACACACTCCTGTCTTCTCCTACTCTAGGCCACATATGCCTTGTAAGAAGCTATGGTGGGAGGAAACACAACCCACTCTTCCCCCTCCCCGAAGTCGGAAAGGAAGAGAGTGAGACAGGAGCCACTTGGCTTCCTATAAATTGTTTTGTCCTTCCTCACAGCTGCAATCAGGAGCTAAGGGCTCCCGCAGGCCTTGTTCTGATCTGCTGCAGGCGATGGAGGGTTTTTGAAACGAAGAGGACTTGGCTGCAGCCCCATTTCAGCTGCCATTGGGGCTGGCTAATGGGCTCATTCGGGAAGACCCCCGCCTGCTGCACTAAAGAGTCCCCCGCCGCCCCCCTCCCCAGTCCCAACCCAATTAATAAATGGGGGCTCCCACTTTATGGCTCTGGGAGCAGGAACCAGAGATACAAATGACCCCCAGGGAGGGACAGAAAAAGGCCTTCCAAGAATCAAGCCAGAGAACGGTGCATCCACAGGCACATGCTGCCATAGGCTATCATATCCCATTTCCAAAGCACGAAAGGGAAAGAAACTGGAAAAAACAACTGTATTTTCTTTCCCAGATGCGGAGTGGGATAGCACTCAAGTCTAGGACACATCCCAGCAACTACTCTCTTCTACCTGATTTCCAATCTGAAAAAGGCAGAGTGAGGGTGAACCTCTGGGCACACATCACATGCACACCTATTTTCCAGGGGTGGGGGTGCCTCTCCCAGACTCTGCAATACTGAACATAGACACATCCCATCAAGAGGTTAGTAAACATGTCCTGCTTCGTAATAACAAAGCAGCTACCACTTTCCAAGCTCTCATCAAGCTCTCATCACCATCAAGAGCATAAATATGTCCTGGGGTCATCATCTTCAGGCTTTTATCCGCCCCCTCACATCCAAATTATCAAGCCTCGCTCATTGCTATGGACTCACTTCCTTTTTTCTCATTCCAGTCTTACTCTAGTGCAGGCCCTCAGGGCTTCACATCTGAACCAGAAAAATGATATCCTAGGCAAGCTTTCCTGCTTCCTTCACCCAGTGCAGCTGCAGAAGTCTTCAACATCATATTCATCTTACCATGCTCTGCTGTTCCTGCTTACCACATCCAATTTAAATTCTTCATTCGGCCAACAAGATTGTTCCTCTGACTTCATTCCCTAATATTCCTTCCTGTGCCACTCTGACCAGTCCAGTCACAGCCCTCTGCACAAAACACACATAAACCTTCTTCCATAAACTTCCCCTCTCTAATCACCTTCTTCTCTTCTGTTCCATGTTCCCTATCTTCATTACCTTCAAAGAATCTTCTCTGGTTAACTCAAAAATTTTCTGATTATTCCTTTACTTTGGCTCCCCTGTTACTAACTTATTTTATAACCTGACTTAATAAATACCAATTCCCTACTTCCCAGGTATGAGACTTATCCTAGACCCAAAAGTTCCTAAAGATAGGGCCCTCCCCTAATTTCCCCCCAGAAGTTGCACTGTACTCCAGACATGACTCAGCTAATGAATTACTGCTCCCCACTGAAACAGCCCCCGTGATAACTCTTGGGGTATATATCAAACAACTACAAGGAATACAATCTTATTCTCAACGTCAATTTTCAGGCTGTCATCTTCCCCTACCAATACTGAACTTGGCACTGAGTCTTTCCAGAATTACAAATTGTTTCATGACTTCCAAGTGTATTGCAGAACAAAAAAGCAGAGCCACCAGAAGAATTTGGTTCTCCTTGATTCACAGTGCATAAGCACTACTTTCTCTGAAGTCCCCTTACTTAGGATGAGAAGCACCATTTTGTTTCCTATGCCTAAGATTAATCCTATATTCTCAGGTCATGACCTAATTTTTTAGAATGCAAATCAATCCAAGAGCCAATAGTAATCTTCTAGCCCTGCCTCTAGTCTACTTCTGACCATTACATTTTTTTGGACGGCCTCTATAAGTTATTCAAGAGTCTCTTTCAACTATTCAGTGAATAATTCCTTAAATTAACCTCACTCTCAAACCTGATTCTTCACTT